TGCTACCTAGGGTACATTAACTGTTCATAATGTAGCTACCATATATTACTATTACCAAACACTTCTGTCTCGATTGTGCAACTGTGGTCTCCAAAAAGACCAGCGCCTTGCTTGTATATTACGCGACTTCAATCATATCATTCGTACACAATACTGTCAAACATTTCCCCAAAATCCATTCATATTTTCCTCAGTTTCATTTCTGAGTACTGTTCATTCAGATTCATTAAATTCCCTGGTGCAGGGAGTAGCGCTGCTGCCTCACGGGGACCTCCGGAGTCCCCAGATCAACCCTGAGCCCGCGTTACTCGCTGTACGGAGTTTCGTGTGTTCTCCCACGTCCGTGTGAGGTTCCCTCTGGGTTCTCCGCTTTCCATGCCCATAGATACAGTAGACTGGCTACTCTAAATTGCCCCTAAATGTTGGTGAGTGTGAAAGTGTTGGTGCCTTGTGATGGACTGGCGTGTGGAACAACAGGCAGTCTTAATATCAAAATTCCTTTTTTGTCTGTGTGTAACACACACACACACACACACACACACAGACACACACAGTAGGAGTGCAGGATGTAAGTGAAATAGTGAAGAAACACATTACCTGCGTTGTGAGTGTGCTCCCATTCCTTGTTCCTGAAGCTTAACTCAGGTCTGTGTTTTGAAGAGCAGCAGTGTGTCCCCCTGAGGCATCCCTGGCAAACTCTCCTGATCTCTCTCCCACCCGCACACCCCTGTTCTCTCTCTCTCTCTCTCTCTCTCTCTCTCACACACACACACACACTGCATTTCTTAAGCGACGCATGGTTCCTGATGGAGCTCTCTCTTATCAGCAGCAGCACAAATGCAATGCAAATGGAGCCGTGCTCGCTGAAGGCTTTCACTCTGAGGCAGGCTTAATTGGTAAAGAGGGAGAAATGAAGGTGTGAAACCTGCAACACCAAGCACACGATCAAAATACGGATTGCTTTAAGAAGCTCTGGTTTCTCTCTCCCGCTGACCCCCCCCCCCTTTTCTTTTTGTAATAATTATAATGAGAACAGCTGCACTATAATCTTCCATTTCACTGGTGAAGAGAGGGCGTTTGTGACCTGCAAAGTGTTTATTATTTTTTTCATTTTAATTTCATCGTGTCGCTAACGTCGCTGCGTATTTAGAAGTGGGTCAGGGACACCTCACGCGCGGAGATCTTTCTCAGCGTCTGCTCTAATTGACGTTACCGATTTCATGGTAAAAAAGCACTGGCAAATCACGGGTTTACATACTGTATATGAATCTGTTTATTCTAATACATTGATCGTTTCTATAGTAACAACATGCTCATGGAGTGGTATGGTGGATTCTCGACATAATTTAAGACGAATAGGGAACAATTTTTTATTTTTTTTAAATGTGTTATTAAACAACGTTGTGATGTTTTCTGTAAGGAGATGTTTGTGGGTGGCAAGACACTGAACCCCAAGTTGCTCCCGATGGCAAGTTAGCTGCTCTGCTACCATTGGTGTGTGTGTGTGTGGGAACGAGAACCTAAATTATGTAAAGTATGTGTAAAGCGCTTTGCATAAAAGCGCTATATAAGTGCACCATTTACCATTTATGGAAGGAGTCTCCAGTGTTAGTGCTATGTAACAGGAAGTTTTCCCGCTATAGGAAAGTCTTCAAGACGGAGGTTTATCAGTCCTCTCTGCTTTCTCAGTATCATGTTAAGCTACTGTTTCTCGTCTTACTAAATTCCCGAGAGAAATGAAGTGAGGGAACAACTGTTTGTAGCTGCTATAGCGTAAGTGAGAACAGGAAGTTACTTGTGTGACGGATGGGGTGTTCCACAACATTTAAACGCATACCAATGCAGCGTTCCGCAACAAGATGCTTTGTTCATGTTTATCGATGACAGTCAGTAACGCCGTGTCGTAAATGGCATCAGCGAGTCTGCAAGTATGCGGGTTGAGGCGGAAATGTACAGAAAACATGTCCAATATGAAATGAAGACCAAAAAAAGAATCAAGTTGTGTCCATTTTTTCCCCCACAGTGCCGTTACTTAAATATTTTGATGCTGTTCTGACCTGATGTTTGTAATCTATATAGAATTTATAATCTATAATCAATTTCCGTTCACTGCTGTAACCGATTTGTCAATGTCCCTCAAAACCGATCACCATTCCTAAGAAAAACATTTGGCCATCACTGTAGCACTGGACTTTCACTAATTTGTTTTCCTGTCGCTGTTCCATCATTCAAAAGGATAATCGCTCCAGCATGTCCAGGCCGATGATCACCAGGTCTCCAGCGTCTCCTCTCAGTAATCAGGGCATCCCGACGCCAGCGCAGCTCACCAAGTCCAACGCGCCTGTGCACATCGACGTAGGCGGCCACATGTACACCAGCAGCCTCGCCACACTCACCAAGTACCCCGAGTCCAGGTGAGGCTCGAGAGTCTTTTATATGTATATATGAAAATGATCTTCTTTTTGACATCAAGATCTTTCTATAGTGGTCTTAAGCATTTATGGTAGCGTTGCCATTTCTCGCAGCCCGCGTTACTATCCGTTTGGAGTCTCACAAGTCCTCCCTGTATATGTCTGGGTTTCCTCCGGGTTCTCCGGTTTCCTCCTACCTCCAAAAACGTTCTTGGAACCGGGTTCGCTATGCTGTGAATGAGTGTCTACATGAGGGTGAACTCACACCCAGTGTTCCAGGGATAGGCTCCGGATCCACCGTGACCCATGACACCACAGTGTGATGTTAACTAACCTCGGATTAGGGCTTCACTGTTTATCGTACTCTAACAGCGATCTCAATCCACGAACTATAGGCTTTTATTTACTTTATTTATTTCTCGAAAAGCACAAGCTCCTTGTCGACGTTTTACCCATTTCTCTCTACTAATCCTGTAATGTAATGGAATAAACGCACATATAAAGGAAACTAGCTAATGTTAAAGGGGCGAAGATCATTTTTGGACCCTGGGATAACTCGCATGAAATGGGTATGATGCGGTCACCTGTCGCTCTCGTCAGCTCTGTCAGCATGACGTCATCGCGGCGTGTCGAAGCACGTTTATCAGAGACCCACGCGGTTCGCACGCACCCAAACGTCATTCGATTTGAAGGTGGCTTGTGAAAAACAGTTCATCGGTTGTATTTTAAAGTCATTGATGCATTCAGACCAAAATGTTATTACTGCTGTAAAAACATGAACTACAGTCACTGGCTAACACGCCTAAATGACATTACGGCCATAAGGCAGTATAAGAGACCTTTTGTAAATTGCTTCCACTCCATCCAAAATCATCAACAGGGGTTTTTTTTTTTTCTTTTTCTTTTTGGTATGCCTGTTAGTTTTAGCTGGAAACGTTTTAGCCCACAGAAAACATTTCTGCACAAACAAAAAGGAGGCTGTGTGCAGCCGTAGCAGGCCACAGGATACGAGATCCATCTGGAGGCTGGGGAGCCGGAGCACTCAGGCCAGACCGCAAGCCCAGCGCTGAGGCCAGGGGCCACCTCCTCAGCCAGATGGCCCTTGTACCCTCTTCACGCTGAGCGTCTACCATTTCAATCAGATTATTTTTTTGTTCCTATAACTACACTGAGCAGTTTTGTTTATTTATTTATTTATTTATTTATTTATTTATTTGTGCTTAATTGTAAGTCAAGTGGGATTTTATTGTCATTCCTCTATATACATTGTTGAATACATTGGAATGAAATGTCATTTCTCCAGGACCGTGGTGCAAAAACGTACCGTTAAAGTATGCAAGACTACATACAGTGCACATACAGAACCGTGTGAGATGAGTGCAGGACCGTAAACGCACCAAAACAATAACTGCACAGTACAATGGACATGCGGGACAATAGACACACAAGGACAACAGAACAGTGTTGTGCAGGAAATCTATCGCAACAATCGTCTGTTAATAATTCTTCTTATTAGCAGCAAATAGAGTCGATTATGAATCCAGTAGCAATAATCTTCTAAGAAAAAAAGTCTACTGTATAATAAGGCTATGTTAACTCTCTTTGTCTCTCTCTCTCTCTCTCTCTCTCTCTCTCTCTCTCTCGGAGCAGAATTGGCCGACTATTTGATGGCACGGAGCCCATTGTTCTGGACAGCCTGAAACAGCATTACTTCATCGACAGGGACGGTCACATGTTCCGCTACATCCTCAACTTCCTCAGGACGTCCAAGCTCCTCATCCCTGACGACTTCAAAGTGAGCGAGAGAGAGCGAGAGAGAGAGAGAATGAGATCTGGGGTCAATGATGTGTCTCCATCAAATATATATCTGTGATCTTTTCTTCCACTGATGGATGCAGCCATTGTGATGGTAGATGATGTCAAATGTTATGATCTGTTGAGCATAACGCACAGATGGCGAGAACAAGCGTTTGAAACTATACACATGCACAATGTCGCGTCTAGTAAACCCTAAGTGTTCTGTAATCAGACGTGCACATTACAGCCTTTGTTCTCGCCATAAAACGCATTTGCATTCCAGTGGCTTGCTCTTGTGTCATTTGGCCCTTAATTACAAATTTGCCTTGGGAGAAAACAAATAATCCCATTATCTGATGGTCTGTCCATGGGGAAACTGTGTCAGCTAAAATAAGCGAAGACTCCAGAGTGGCTCTGGTTCACAGAAAGGCTACATGTATTCAGAGATTCTTGGAGAGTTCGTGGCTATTCGGTCGTTGTTTATTCGCCTCACGATTACCTCATTACTGCTTTTCTCGTCTTGTTTTCATATGTATTAAGCATGTTGCATTTCCTGCGAGTGATTCACTGTTGCTGATTATACCCCAGTGCTGCTAAATTCTCCAATATGGATTGGTTAGTAGATCCAGCTGCAAAGCAAATCACAGGTTTATGTTAGCGTGTTTGTTCTAATATGTTACCGTTTCTATAGTAACAGCTAAGTCACAAGGACTTTCTACAGCAGGTGCTCCACATAACCTTATTAGACTTAAAATAAACATGTTTAACCAAGAATAGATTATGTATAGATATGGTGAAGTTGCTTAGTGGTTAGCATGTTCACCTCCAGGGTCGGGGGTTCGAGTCCCACCGTGACCCATGTGTGTGCGGAGTTTGCATGTTCTCCCCGTGCTGCGGGGGTTTCCTCTGGGTACTCCGGTTTCCTCCCCCAGTCCAAAGACATGCATGGTAGGCTGATTGGCGTGTCAAAGTGTCCGTAGTGTATGAATTTGTGTGTGAGGGTGTATGTGATTGTGATGGACTGGCACCCTGTCCAGGGTGTACCCCGCCTTGTGCCCCATGCTCCCTGGGATTGGCTGTGACCCTGAAAAGGATAAGCATAGAGGTATAGAAGATGAATGTATGGATGGTGAAGTTTTCAATGAGGAGATTTTTTTAGAAGGTGTCTCCAGAGTCAGAGCTTAGTCAGTCAGAAGTAACACTATAAATTTCAGTCTTCAGGAGTTTGGATACTTTGTAAGAAATTTAGCTTGAAAGTAGAATTTTCTACCTATCTGATGATGACGTAAAACATCATCAGATTTATACACAAGCTCTCAAATTAGATAAAGAGAACCCAATTAAACAAATGAGGCAAAAATAATATACTTGGTCATGTGCCAAAACAACTCTCAAACCATACTATCACCACCATGTTTCACAGATGGGATTAGGTTCCTTCTCCAAACATAACGCTTCTCATTTATATCAAAAGTTATATTTGGATCTCCTCCATCCAGAAAACATTTTTCCAGTGGTGTTCTGGCTTGTCCATGTGATCTTTAGCAAACATCGGAAGGGCAGAAATGTTCTTTTTGGAGAGCAGTAACTTGTAACACCAGTGTTGTCCAGTGTCCTCCTGATGGTGGACTCATAAACATTAACATTAGCCGATGTGAGAGAGAACTTTAGTTGCTTAGAAGTTACCCTGGGTTGTTTTGTGACCTCGTGGACTATTACACGTCTCGCTCTTGGAGTGATCTTTGTTGGTCTTCACTCCTGGAGAGGGTAACAATGGTCTTGAATTTCCTCCATCTGTACACAATCTGTCTGACTGTGGATTGGTGGAGTCCAAACTCTTTAGAGATGGTTTTGTAACCTTTTCCAGCCTGATGAACATCAACTCTTTTTCTGAGGTCCTCAAACGTGCAGTGAAGATCAGATTCTGATAGATCCCTGTTCTTTAAATAAAACAGGGTGCTCACTCACACCTGATCGTCATCCCATTGATTGAAAACACCTGGCTCTAATTCCACCTTCAAATTAAACTGCTAATCCTAGAGGTTCACATCCTTTTACCACTCCAATATAATATTGGATCATTTCCCTCAATAAATAAATGACCCAAGTGTAATATTTTTGTCTCCTTTGTTTAATTGGGTTCTCCTTGTCTTTGAATGCTAGCCTCGCCATACTTGAGCTCAAGTTTCCCTGATGCAACATCCCTCCCGTGATTAGTTGACATAACCTACCTACTATTTGGTGGTGTTGTTTAGCCACAAACACAAGCCTGACTACAATCAACATCCATCCATCCATCCATTTTCCATAACGCTTATCCTGCAAAGGGTCATGGGGACCCTGGAGCCTATCCCAGGGAACTTGGGGTACAAGGCGGGGGACACCCTGGACAGGGTGCCAAGCCATCACAGGGCAACTACAATCAACAACTAAATAAATATGACAACCATGCAGAAAATTACAACCGTGGTTGTAACTATGATCCAAAATGTCCTTGTGACATCTTCTGAATTAGCAAACGAGCTCCGTGGAATGCGTCCCGAATTTAGCTGGATGTGTGTGCTACCTAAGACCTAAGTCTTGTTGCTACACCCAGGCCATGAGCCTTGCACAGTCCTCTTTTGTTCACTTAATTAAGATGTTTTTACCGATCTTGTCCATGTAGGACTTCAGTCTGCTGTATGAGGAGGCGCGGTATTTCCAGCTGCAGCCGATGCTGGCAGAACTGGAGCGCTGGCGTCACGAGCGGGAGCTCAACCGAATCTCGTGTCCATGCGAGTGTGTGGTGGTGCGCGTGGCGCCTGACCTGGGGGAGCGCATCACGCTGAGCGGAGACAAGGCCCTCATCGAGGACATCTTCCCAGAAATCGGCGACGTCATGTGCAACTCGGTGAACGCCGGCTGGAACCACGACTCCACACACGTCATCCGCTTCCCGCTAAACGGCTACTGCCATCTCAACTCTGTTCAGGTGAGGGCGTGGCCTAGATCACTAACTAAACAGCTAATCATGGTCCAGCTCTATTATCCAATCAGGAATCTTTTCTGCAGGTTATTTTTGGATAACTCCTGCATGGCTCGGCTGTAAATGAATTGGAATCAGTAGCTTGATGGAGTAAGAGTAGAATTATGATCATAGCTGAGCTTGGGCTGAAACTTCCACGTCTATTGTTGCTAAAAACGCCTTTCTGTGTGAGGAATGTAGCGAAAAAGAAAGTCTTCAGAAAAGAACATGGCTAAGCAACTAAGCGCTTGAAACTGTTGCTAGCTTGCTTTGCTGTTATTGCCCAAACTGCAACATTATAGCATAGCTAGCTACCATTAGCTAGTAGCTTGAGCTGTTTTGCAGTATTCTTGCTAAGCGTAAATGAATTCTCTACCTGTGTTAGCTACGTGACTTAAAGGCTAGTTTTAGTGTTAGCTCAAACACTTGTGTGTCCTTGTTCAACCCAAGTTTGTTCACATTTGCCACTTAAAGTCCATTAGGTGTGTAACTGCATTTTTTAAATTTTTTTATTTTTTGTACAAAGAAGTTTTGGAGAGACGTTTTGTTTGGATTGAGGACATGTTTCCACTGGCTTTAATTGTTGTTAGAAAAAATAAAAAAAAGCCATCCTGCCATTACTTATGTGTGTTCCCATAGCATTCGATTCGCTCGTTTTTGCATATGTACTAAAATGTTGCAGTCACTGTTACCATGACAACAAGTTGTTGTCGTTGTTGTTGTTGTTGTTGTTTTAAATACCCACTTCATCTGTATCCAAGAGGGAGTGAGATGTGAAATTAACAGTAGCAGCACATAACGACATGCATGCACACGTACACACACACACACACACACACACACGCACTCTCTCTCTCTCTCACTCACTCCTCACTCACACACACACACATGCTGGTAGGTAGTCCTCAGGCACAGCCCGTAATCCTGTTTGGTTATTAAAGTGAGCCTGCAGTGGATGCTGTATCAGAGCCTAATGGAGCCGGTGTGTGTGTGTGTGTGTGTGTGTGTGTGTGTGTGTTTGTGTGTGTGTGTCTGGAGGGTGATGCAGAGGAGCGAGACCTTTGTAGTTTTGGAAGGGGGGTTACAGGCTGCCTGGAGTGATTGGAGGTTTGGGGGGTTGGAGGTTCAGGCTCTGAGATGTTGTGCTTCCATGCCGCACAGGCTCTGCTCCCTGAGGCCTTTAGATGGAATGTGATGATTGTGGAACCACAAGGACATACACGACACATACACACATACACACTCGTACAAACGCAGACGCTCAGCCTGTTTTAGTACCTTTCTTCATTTTCTTTTATTGATTTGGGGAAATGATAGATTTGCTATGATTTGCTGGGAACTACTCTATCAGGTCACATGATTACAAATTCGTAGTAAATGTCATTAACTAATCAACATAGCCTAACGCAGTCCTGTATCCGACATCTAGGTATATATGTCATTCTGAACGTTTACACTTTACATTAAAGGGGCTGTTTGCAAGTTCTGCCACATACACGTGCAATGATGACAAAAATATTAGTAATGAGTCTTTATTGGTCACGTGTACATCACAGCGAAATACTTTTCTTAATATACCGCAGCATGTCAGGAAGTTGGGGTCAGAGTGCATGGTCAGCCATGATACAGCGCCCCCTGGAGCAGAGAGGGTTAAGGGCCTTGCTCAAGGGCCCAACAGTGGCAGCTTGGTAGTGCTGGGGCTTGAACCCCCCGACCTTCCGACCAAGCCACCTGAAAGTTTCCTTTAAAGGAAAATACGCCGGAGTTGTGCAGCTATGTTTCCTGAAGGGGGCGGAGCTCATTTCCAAGCAGGAAAAACGCGACAGATGCTTGGTGTTAAGAACCTTGGAAAAGATGCATTGCCTTGTCATACTTTTATAAGTAGACATGTTTAGTTTATGAATGACTCACTCGGTGTTTGAATCTGGTACTACCTTTTACATAATATGCTTGACTTGTCGGTGATTTATAATCATCTGTGAATTGTCGGATTTGCGTCTGCATATGTACCTTGAGTCAGTGGATCACGTCTGAGGCCCTGTTTACAGTGCGAACGGGCGTTCTGTGTAGGACTTGCGCCGCTTGAATTGGGATTTGTCGGCGATCGCTCTAATCGTAGCTCGCCTCTTGCGCGTGACGCAGCTGCAGTATTAAAAAATGCAGAACTGAACTGCACAATGGCTGCTAAGAATGACGACAAAGCCAGCAAAGCTTGCGGTTCAGTCTCCATGTTGTTGTGTGTACGATCAGGGTAGCGTAACGGTCGTACGGTGGGGGCTTGACCGATCAGGGAAGGAAGACCCAATCTTTTTTTTTAAAGTCTGCGTTTCGGTCCGTTTACACGGAGACGCGAGACGGGAGTTTTCAAGCTACAACGGGGTCTTCGGGGAGTAGTGTAGACGACAGGTGTAACCATAGCAACAGTTAGGCGTTTTAAAATGTAAACAGGGCCTCCCAACGAATCAATGGAGTCAGTGACTCCCATTCGAGTCCCAAAGTGAATCAGATTTTGGCTCATAAAGTGAGAGCTGGAGATGTTTCAGTGCACACAATAAGAGTCTGTATTCATCTTTAAAAATGATTTAAATGCTTTAAATGATTCATCTAAAGGTAATTGGATGTGCCGAAGTTCTTCTGTAGGTCTTCTGTCTGTATATGTCGCTTCCTAACAGACGAATCATTGGGGAAAGTCTTGAGTACATTGTATACAAGTCCAATATATTTATCATATGAATAGATTTCCAAAACGTACTGGTGTGTGAGTGTCCATGTAAAGGCGTGTCTTTCCGTCACCCTGTATCACCATGTTGTGCGATTGTATCCGATCGCAGGTCCTGGAGCGACTACAGCAGCGTGGCTTCGAGATCGTGGGCTCGTGCGGGGGCGGAGTCGACTCGTCCCAGTTCAGCGAGTACGTCCTGCGGCGAGAGCTCCGGAGATCTCAGCGAGGACTCCAGACTAACAGGATAAAACAAGAACAGCTGGACTAGAACCCAAGCCTAGTAACTGCTTCACAGACTTCCAAAAAAAAAACAAAAAACAAATAAAAAAAAAAAGAAGAGAGAGCAGAGATTTCAGCCGTTGCTGAACTCTTTGGGACACTTGAAATGATTCGAATTGTTATAATTTTTTTTTTTAAGGGAAATTTTTTTGGTGAAGATTTGACCTTTGATGACCTTTGAGAAGATCAGGACGTTGTCCCTTTCCATACATTCAATTTCAACGCAAACATTAAGACATCATGTTCTGTTTCGCAATGCTATATACAGTATATATAAATATATATAAATATGCATATATTTTGCTATTTCATATAATTGACCCATGGATGTTGTTTCCTAATGTCATAAATAGGTTTATATTACAGACCTCAACGCATTGGGGTGTGTTTTGTTTCTTTTGTTTGGTTCATATTATAATGTACAAGCAAAGATTGTGTACTTTCAGTTCATATAAACTTTCTTTTGAAGTTGGTCATTGAAGATTGTTGTGTGCTACATTTTACGTATGTATTTACTTTTACTCGGTAGGATTATAAGATTAACATGAGATGTATCAAAAAAAAATTTCACGTTTTAAACGAGATCAAACAAAACGCCACTTATTTACTCTTAATTTATGATCAGATATGATGTTTATCTACTATTTGTAAGTTGTTTTTGTTTTTTTTTCCTCTTTGGCCTCAAACCTCTTTTTGACTGAATTTGTAATGACATTAAATACAGGTTCCTTCTGAAATCTGTCAAAGCTGAGCAAGTCATTTCAGCGTCACGCCACATCCGACTTCCCGAGTCTCGAAGAATGTAGCAAGCAATTTAAAATAAATCCTCCCAAATCATACTCACGCATCAGTCTGGCACTTATTATGAAAGAAATTGTAACATTTGGTAAATATTCAGGCTTGAAAAGCGGACAGTAGTTGTTACTGTTGATGCTAAACTCTTAAGAGTGTCTTTCAGTGTTTTTTTTTTTAAATATATATTTCCTGATTGTCAAGATCCTGTCCTACATGAAACCCTGTATGATAGAGAAACACTTTGCTTTAGTTTTCTCCAGAACAACACACCCAACAACCTAAAGCCGTGTCCGAAATCGCGTACCGTGACCATATGCACTGCGATCCCGGACATTCTACGTCCGCCATGTTGGCGATGTCATGTGACCTTCGACGTCATCATAAACGCTTAGATATCAAAGGGACGACCAGATTAAAGCAACCGCACTAATGGCAAAATGCCTATCGGGAAGGTTAACTAAATTAGCAATGTAAAGTGGGCGGGGTTACTAGGCTGAGGTAAACTCGTTACCGTTAGCTCGGCCAGATGAGGCACGTTGGAGTCAAAAAGAAGGTTTCTAACGCTGTGAGAACTGTTTACTTGTTTAAACCTTTAACAATGTACTGAGGTGTTGTTTAACCAAGTCCTGTTTAACCAAGGTACAACACTTAAAAAGAGCCGACGTGCTGTCTTCCGGACATTTATTTATTTTTTTTCTGAGCTCGTTCGCACCAGTCCCATTGCATTATGGGATTGTTTGACTCATGTAGTGTCCATCGGTTGCATACTGCAAAATCTCTCCATAAGCAGTACGCCATACCGCCTACTGCTAATTCGGACATACTACTCGTCTGGCGTACTGTGTAGTGGGGTAAAACGCGATTTAGGACGCAGCCCAAGTGTTCTGGATTTTTTTCTTCTTTTTTCAAAGAGTATACAGTTTGAAACCGCTTTATAACTCCAGGGTCGCTGGTTTGAGCCTGATTTCAGGTTGCGGTGTGGAGTTTCACAAGTTCTCGTCATGTCCCAGTTGGGCAGTGGGAGCTCAGTGGATAAGACGTTGGACTATTGTTCGAAAAGGTCGTAAGTTCAAATCTCAACACTGCAAAGCTGCCACTGCTGGACCCTTGAGCACGGCCCTTAACCCTCAACGGCTCAGTTGTATAAATGCGATCGACGTAAGTCGCTTTTGATAAGGCCGTCCTCCAAAATGCCGTAAATGTAATGTAATGTTTCCTATGAGTTCTCCAATTTCCTCCTACAACCCCAAAACACTCCAGTTGGTGGATTGCCTACATTAAATTGCCCCTAGGTGTGAATGTATGTGCATGACGTGCAACGACATAATGGTGTCCCATCCCTCACAGCTAGTGTTCACCCAAGGATAGTCTCCGGATCCAATGTGACCCTGACCAGGATAATGTGCTTACTGAAACTGAATGGATAAAAATGTTTCGTTTACAAAATATAATTTGAGAAATGCACTTCTCGATAAAACATTAAATACAAGCAGGTGCTAACTGTTCGTTGACCTTCAGACATTTTTTTTTTCTTACATCCCCTCTACCAGTGTCTCCTGATGTGCCAGTGAGGTATTAAGCTCTATTTCAAAGCGCCCTTGCCCCGAGCACTGATTCCTCACAGCAGCCACCATTTCTGCACAGGCTTCAGGCTCAGCCAATGGAGTCTCACCGGTCCATTAGTAGAACTTTTATTTCTGGCGCTGGTCTATAGAGAGAGGTGAGACGACCGTGTCCCACCAGGATGTAGGACACGTGGGGTAAGAGATTATTCTGGTTCATTTCACATAAACAGCAAGCCATGGACAGAGATACAGCATTATTGACTAGTTGGTGGTTTAAAAAAAATGGTATAGTGTTCCAAAAAGGGCTTTGTGAAACCCTTGTAATACCTCACAACAGTAATGTGGTCTAATCGACTTCCCCGTCCAACATTTTCCCTCAGGGGAATACCTGTCTTCATCTCAGGAGCCATTTCAATAGTTTATTAGCTCAAGTGAAATTTCTTATCCTTTGGAAGTCTTGGGGATCAAGTCGATATGACTGAAGACTTTAGCAGAACTTACCCAGAAGGCACTGAGATTTGATCCTGATCCTTTGCTAAAAAAATTATTTTTTTAAAAATAATAAATAAAAAACAAGGGCAGATATAACAGGAAATGTCAGTAGTAGCAATACAATATGAACTCAACATTTTTGCAACATCTAAACTGGGCATGATGTCGCTAAATCTGGCTAGCTAGTTATAGGTAACATGACTGTATACTTTGGCAGAACTTACTTACCCAGAAGCCATTGTGGTTTCAACCACTAATATAACATTATAATACGCACAAACTGAACGCTTTCTCGCACCACACTGGCGTTCAATTCCGCCAGCGGAACGGAAATCGCCTTATAAGACATTTTCAATCATTATAAACAATGGAATTTTATTTATCAACGCATGTATGTCATAAAATTATACGAGATGTGTCAGGACACTGTTGGGTTTCTGTATGTAGAGTATCCGTGACTCTGTTTAGCTGCTGGTGAGCAGGGCGATGGGGAAAATGGAGGTGTGTGAGCCCCCTGCTGGGCAAACAACTCACAACCTCTCCACAATAACACTAGTACAGAGATTAAAAACGAACTGCATTTTTGATAGTAAAAAGCTTTGAATGTCAATTTCACACGAAACAACAGCAATTTCAAACTCACTGGAATTTCTTTCTTTGCTGCCTTTTGTGAATTTTGTTTTACCTGTGTGGGAGTCACCGGAAATAGTGATGTGTTAGGTAAATAATGAGCAGAGCAGAGAATGGGTCACGTGCGGTCATTTCCTGGAGTTGCATGCATACATTACATTCAACCATACAGCCATTTCTATATGTTCTTTGTATGCTGAGGACTTTTCTTAACAACAAATAGATCCTTTTACCAGTTTGCATCTAAGCTACTTCGCACACTGACTACATTATTTTTACGTTTAGTCATTTAGCGGACGCTTTTATCCAAAACGACTTACAAACGAGGAAATACAAGCAAAGCGATATATCAAGCGGAGAACAATACAAGTAGTGCCACCATACAAGACCTTTAATTGAGTTCTAGAGAAGTAAAGCGCGCAGAGTCGAGGAGGAAGAAATTTCAAATTGTTTTTGTTCTTTTAGGATAATGTGGAGGTTGGTGTTTTAGGGGTTGGTTAGGTGTTCACGGAAGAGGGGGGTCTTTAGCTGTTTTTTGAAGATGGTGAGTGTGTGAAGTGTGAAGGTTCTTGAAAGGGACCTTGAGCCACGATGAGTAGGCTCTACTAAGCATTGGTCGTTAACCGATCGCAGATTGCGTGAGGGAACGTAAGCCTTCAGGAGAGAGTTGAGGTAGGAGGGAGCTGTTCCAGACAAGGTCTTGTACGTGAGCATCACGGCCTTGGATTTGATCTGGGCGACTACAGGAAACCAGTGGAGGGAGATGAAGAGGGGTGTGACGTGGGTTCTTTTGGGCTGGTTGTTATACTAACATAACTCATAAGATTTAAAATGCGAAAGGAAATAACTTAGACTGAATTGGTGTAGCGGCATAGTTTCCATAAAACTTGACCTTACTATCCTATGGAACGTATTCATCCACTGGGCAAGTAATCCTCTCTCCCAGGCCATTGGTAAAAGATAACGTTTTCGACATATCACCTAAGAACATTATTCTGTAATAAAGTATAAAATAAAAGGATTATTTGTTAGTAGATTTTTTACTGAATGGACTCTTTTCGTGTTTATCAAACATTAGCCTACACTAGCTCTTCTGTCATTGGCAATGCTGGCAGGTAAAGGTTTTTTTTTATTTCACTCCGTTCTGCTCGTACTTAATAGCAGACTGATCGAAGAACACGACGCTCCTGTAGATGCTGTCAGATGCTTTCAGATGTCTGACTCCAGCATGGCGATCCAATGCAAAACAGCCCCTGGAGGCTTCTCGTCTGGCAGAATCGCCTCTGTCTCACACCTACTTGATGTTAGTTCCAATTTGTCTCCGTTTCAGCTCGACACTTGACTTCACTGAGAAGCAAACAGGAGTTGCTGCAGATGGACGGAGCTGGGACACAATTCACACCTTCTTCTGTTTTTTGTTTTTTTTCCAGGTGATTTGGACTACAGTCAAACAAAACAGAATCTTTGCTGGTGTTTATATTCAGCGTTGTATGTATTGAGTTTTATTTCAGGATTTGACATTGGACGAAAAAAAAACAAAAAAAACAAGGGGGGTTCAAACTGTGCTAATTTTGGTGAAGAATACGTACCAGATTCTCTGAGACTAGAAGGCTATAACACTGCAAAAAACAACAACAAAAAAACGGAAAATATCCCAATTTACAGTGCATGTGCAAAGTATTCTCAGCGCTTCACTTTTCCCACATTTTGTTGCGTTACAGCCTTATTCCAAAATGGATTCAACTCATTATTATCCTCAAAATTCTACAAACAATACCCCATAATGACGACATGAAAGAAGTTTGTTTGAAATCTTTGAAAATTTATTAAAAAAAATTTTTTATATATCTTATATTTGATTTATTGGGATTTTATATGATAAGTGCTTCAGCCAAGATTAAAGTTTCCTGATAATCTTATATTTCTTATCCATCTTATATTTGGTTTATTAGAATCTTATAATAGATAGATTTCACTAGATTCAAGGCATTTTGACTTGCTAAGATATCATTTGTTGCAGTGTACAGTAGAGCACAGTCTTGGATGGGTGTTCTTTGTTTGTTTTTCACTATATTCTGTATCACTAAAGACTGCTGTGTGTGAAAATCCCAATAGATTCTGAACTGCTCGAACCAGCCCGTCTGACACCAACAACAATACCACGAGATCACTGAGAATTCGTCCCTCAGTCTGATGCTTCTGTTGCTCTTGACCTGTAGCTGCATGGTGGTATGCTTGTGTTCCTATTAAAGAGGCCAGTGAGTATATATTGATTTTTTTTTTCTCAAAGCTGACAGGATTTAGAGTTCTAATGCATTCAGATTGTAGTCTCAGAAATATGTCCTGAAAACAAATTATTGTTATATTTCTGTATCAATTAAACCAATTTTCTCTCTCCCAACCAGTTGGTGATAGACACCGCGTGCAGCGCACTCATTGATCGCTTATTAAACCCAAGTTCTTGTATAGTCTTGTATAGTGTGTGTGTGCGTGTGTGTGTGTGTGTGTGACCTGGTGGAACATGGCTAATTGGACATTTTTGCTAAGCATTGTCATTTGGTAAAATGCGAAACCCCCAGGAGGTGGCCTATGCCAACAGATAATTAGCAAACAACATTCCCTAATTCCCCTCTAATATCTGTTCCATTATGCTCCGATCATCACACCATGATTTCGGGATAATTTTCCTCACACATCTTCAAACTGTATCTATACAGGATTATACAAATCCTTAAAAAAAAAATCCATTGACTTTCTCTCTCTCTCTCTCTTCTCTCTCTTCTCTGTCCTTCACAAAAAGTGATTGTTCCTCAGGAGCTTGATTTTAGACACTGACTACGTTTACATGGACAGCAGTAATCTAATTATTGACCTTATTCTGAATTAGACAATACTCCGATTAAGATGTTTACATGAGTCGCTTTTAGAATACTCCTTTCATGTTCCCGTTTTACACGTTATAGAACATACACGTATTTCACGTATCGACATACAGTTGGTCTTCGTTATGGTACCATATACAGTTTTGGGTGTTTTTATTTTGAATTTTATGAACACTTCATGTGCAGTTTATTATTTGTCGTGCTGTACGTGCAAATAGACGACCGCTTGAAGGCGTGGGCTGCGTCCCAAACCGCGTTATTACCGTCTATATAGTAGCTGAGATACATGTATTTCTCCTACTATATAGTAGGTAAGTACGCGGTTTGGGACGCAGCCGTATTCTCTTGTTTGACGGGTGAGCGTGTCCTGTCATTAAATGCGGTGAAAACTCTCACATGACGTTATTAGTGTGATTAAGGTGTGTACATGTCTGTAATGCGACTAAAACAGGAGTACTCCACACGTCTTAATTCCATTCGTGTTTACTTCGAGTACGACTTTAATCGGATTAAGGTCA